TTAACATATGTGTAATAGATGTCTGTTAATCGTAAAGAATATATTATCTTACACACATTCATTAAACACATTATATATGTACATTAATTGTAAAAATAACACAAGCTATATATATTTATATTTCTTTTTATATACGTATGCCATACATCTGTTAGACATCATGTTAGGCATAATGTGCCACTATATATATATATTTTACGCACATTGTTTATACCTCAAAGAAATATCTATTAGCTGTAAATTGTACATTATTCCATGCACATTTTATATATGTATTTTATATGTATTATGGATTTGTGCTTATATACGTATATTACTTAACATTACATTTACATATATTATACATATAGATAACATTTTCTATAAACATAGATGTTCCTTTGATTTATAGTTCTATTATTGATGACGTTTATTAGATATTTTGTTCTATATAGGATCGATTATTCTTCTATCGACTGTGATTGGTTAATGTCATTACCACTTAAAACTTATTATAAAAGCCCATAAGACAACACCGTATTGTCCCATACAGCACAGAAACATTGCAAAAACGTTGCAGAAATATTTAATTGCAAGATTGCAACATTGCAAATACATTGCGAAATATGACTGTAACATTACTATGATGTTGCAATATTACTTTAGCAATATTGCAGTAATATTTAAAAAAATATTACGAATATAATATATTTTATTTATTTACTAGTTATTTTTGTTACTTGTATTTCAAATTCAGTAATGTTTTACATCAATAATACTTATAGAATAGTACTTAGAATAGCACTCGTTAGTGGCAATCATTAATTTGCATTTTTTTATATTTCTTATTGCATTTTTTTATATTTCTTATACCGATTTTTCGGAAAAAATACTTTCTTTAGATTTAATATTCGTATTTGTTTAATTTTGTGTTTTTTTTTTATTTCATTGAAATATTATATTCTTAAACGAAATATCATTTTTTTAAATGATGAAAATAAAACTTTTATTTTGTTCAAGGAAACCATGTCATTTG